CTCCTGCATCTCAACCTCCCAGACCATCTCCCAGTTCCCTGCTGTACCTTTGCCCACATTGTTCCTTCCACCCAGAATGCCCCTCCAGCCAGCTCCACCATCTCCACTGATCTGGATTCTGCCCATCCCACAAGATACAGCACAAAGGGCACCTCCTCCAGGAAGCCTTCCCTCTTCCTTAGCCTACTTCACACTCACCTCCTCACTCTCTCCTCTTCCTGCCCCACCTCCTTGTGCTGGACCCAGACCCACTACCCAGGAAAATGAGCTCCCTGAAGCAAGGAAGCATGCCCCGCAATTCATCTTTCTCCCCACCATCCCAGACCTTTTTCTGACTCAGGTAGGAGTTCAGACCATCCCTGATGACCAAGCTCAGTTATGCTCAAAACCACAAACCAGCCCCTTTCCGGGGCTAGGACACCCACAGGAATAGGCTGTGCTCAGCCGAGGCCCACCAGCTGGGAGAGATGCCACCATTCAGAGGGCAAAGCAGCACAAGCAAGCGGGAGGCATTTCTGGTGGCTTTCTCTTTTAGACAAGGGCCAAGCCTTCTCCCAGTTTAACCCTCATGACCTTTGAACTTCCTGGGAGGTCAGCAGCACATCCCCTTCCCCAGCTGTCTTTCTGTCTCTGGCCCGATGGGAGGGAGGGCCCTGGGCCGGTTCCATTTTGCGCCCGTATTGATCTGTGGCAGCAATGGGCTGGATAATTAGCCAGGAATTAGGGTTTCTATTACAGCCAGGAGGCTGCTCCAGCTGATTTATCACCTGAATAATTTACTGTGATTGAAAGGAAATTAAAATGAACTCCATTTGACAACTGTGAGCTTTTATGGGCTTTAGTGAAGGCTCAAAAGCCAGATTAATAGCCTGGTGTTGGTTAATAGTCTGCCGAGAGTAAATACGGCAGCCTGTGCTCGCCTCAGCCTTCCTGCCGAGGCCAGAGAGGGAGCGGATCCCACCAGCAGCGCCACCGCGACAGCGTCACCGCGAGTTTTACTGAAACAGACTCTGCTGTTCCGAACACGCACGCCACCAGCACTTGTTTCTTTCCTTTCTTTTTTTTTCCCCCTCTTCAGGTTGATGTTTACTCCCTCCATAAGTGGGGAAAACAGAATTGCTTCTTCAATAACCACGTCGAGAAGGAAGTGTTTGATTGCCCTGGAAGTGTGTACGCAGGACACCCAGGGCCAAGGGTTTACTCAGTGCCCATATAAAAGCAAGAAGCCAGGCCGACCTGCCCAGGGCAGATCTCGGTGGAAAGAGCGGCTGGGTAGACGTGGGCGTGACTGGCAGGACTCCCACCTGGCCTGGAGGAAGAATGTTCTTCCCATAAGTGGGTGGGCTGGGTCACTGAGGGGGATTTGACCACCTAAGCCCATGGCGAAACTCTGAGGATTCTGGAATAACAGACAGACTCTGGCTGCAAAAGGCCAGTTCTGAGAACCAGCCAGTTAGAAAATGCTCCCAGAATCTTTCTCCTGAAAGGGGGCCCATGCAACCATCCAGCACAAGATGAGGACAGAAGACCCTGAAATCAAATTCTAGCTCTGTGGCCTCTGCAAGTCCTGGAAGCTCCCTGGGCTGACCACAGGTTGAACAGTTTTGGGGGAAAAATGTTCAGTCTGTAAAACGGGGCTCTACCAATCTTACCCACACTGTTTAGTGGGCATTTAAATCACGAGTCGAAGGAAGAGAGAGTGGACATGAAGGCCCTTTGCGACCTGCAACCTACCACACGCAGGTGAGGAAGACCATTGTTGTCCAGCTGCTGCTGTGCAAAATCTCCATCACTGCCCCCGCAGGTATGGAAACTTCCAGAGAAAAAGCATTCCTCCCAACAGGGCAGAGCCGGGACTCAGCTGGACTCAAATCAAACTCCCTCAACCCCAAGGCCAGGAAAAGCTCCTTCTTCCCCACAGGCTGCTCAGTGAAACGGACAGCGAGTCCCCACCAAGGCCACTAGACCGTGGAGACCCAGGTCTCCTCACATAGGGAAGAGACACCCCCCCACCTTGGCCACCAGAGCTCCAGGCCCCCTTCTTGGTGTCACCACCAGGCCAGGCAGAGAGTGGGCATGAGGGAGCTCAAGGAGCTTGTACCCTTGACCAACACCCCTTCCCAGGCTGTGGCCCCTCGCTTTGGCTGTCATTTGTCCGGTGACTGGGAACCGGGAGCGAGGGTGTCATTCATAGTCCAGTGCCTGTGTGTGTGCCCGGCAGCCCCGTGGCCTCACCTTCCATCTCTCCTCATTACTGCACATTACAGGGAGGTGAAGCAGATTAACCAGAAAACATTGAGTCAGTCATTACCCCGCCACACGCTCGCCTGAAGGCCCCATCTCGGAGCCCACACAGACACAGGCCCACGGTGGCGTCCGCGCCATGCTGAAGGACACCACACAGCAAGGCTGCTAGGAACGGGGCCCTTGAAGGATCCGTAATGCAGGTCTCCTCCCTGCCAGGCCCTATCTCTTCATGAGCCTAGTAGACCTGTCCCCTCTGTAACATCTCCCTCCTCCCCAACGCCCCGTGCTACCAACTGAGGCAACCTCCCCACTCATCAGGGCCCACAGAACCTTCTCCCTTGCCTTGCAGGTTCTAAATCCATATCGTATCACCCCTGGGAGCTGTGGACAGACCGAGCTGATGCCTGATTCATCCCTCCACTGCTTGGGTGCCTGGCACTGTGCCAGCCTCATTGCAACTTGCAAGAAATATGTTGGATAAATGAGCATATGAATGTCTGAGCAAGTGGGTAAGTCCATGGGTGGCTTCTGGACTCCTCCCAGTTATGAAGCCCTGCAGTCTCTGCCCAGATTTCCCAGGTATTCCAAGTTAAATGAAAAATAGGCATGTCTGAGTCTGAGCATCCTTGAGAATCATGTGGAACACCGAGGGAAACCCAGTCTCTAATACTGAATGTCTGCTTTAAGTTAACAGGAGCTTAATACGAGCACCGAAGTCTTCATGCAGTAGAGGCCAGGCTGAGTGTGGAGGTCTGAGCCCTCACTCTTCCTCTCTCACTTGCTGGGCGGCCTCAGACAAACCCTGTCCCTTTTCGGGGCCTCTAAGGGCTGAGGGGGCTGAAAGATTGCTCTCCAGTCCCCACTGTCTCTAAAATCACATGACCTTATCAGTGGTTAGACGGCAAATTTTCTCCCTGACTCTGGAGGAAAGCTAGGCCTCATCCAAGGAAGTCTCCTTTTCTTCCTCCTCCTGTGTCAGATGGAAGGTGCCTTCAGCCATCCCTCAGAAGGGCTGTCTGTGATGGAAACAAGACTGTTTTCCTGAAAGCCCAAGATCTGGAGCGTGTGGGATCAGCTCCATCCAACACACAGGATCACCTTGCTCCCAGAGGAGAAAGACCAAAGCCTTAACCACAGTCTACAAGGCCTGGCCCATCTCCCCAACATCACTGTCCCTTCTCCCCATGCCCCTGTGCCCTAAAGCTGAGCCACATGGGCTCTCTTGGCTCTCCTTCCATTCCTCACTCTTGCCATGCCCCCTGTCACCTCAAGGCCTCGCACTTGCTCTTCCCTCTTGTCAGGCGCACTCGCCTCATCCCTATGTCCCTTCTTCTGGTTCGGCCCTAGGCCTCAGGGCTCAGTATTTCCCCGAGGAGGTCACTGTGGCCTCCAGCCTGGCTCAGCCTCTACTTTATTCTTTCAGAGAACCTCAGATAACGTCCCCACCTCAGCACCTAGAACATCTGTAATCCATGACTTTTGGGTTCTTCTTACTGATTGTGGTTCTTCCACATACCTGTAGGCTCCCTGAGGGCAGGTCCAAGCCTACCTCGTTCACTGAAGTACCTAGTGCCTGGCTCCAGGCTTGCACACAGGGGATACTCCTCAACATTAGTTAAGTGAATACATGACTTGCTCTGTGGACTCAGGCAAGTCCCTCCCCCTCTCTTGGCCTCAGTTTCCCCACCTGGAAACAAAGTGGCTACATGGGCTGTGAAAGCCCTCATAGGAGCTGCTCAGACAGCCAGACTGTCACAGGATGGTGGCCTTGAGGCTTTGCTCACCCTCACTCCTCAACATCCCCTCTGGCCTCTCTCCTCTCCACAGGAAACTGTGTAGGCAGCCTATGTGTCTTTGAATGGCTCTGGGGGAAAACTTCAGAAATGCCATCTAATGAGCACATAGAGAAAGCCCAGTGAGGCCCGTTTTCACCTCCTGTACCAGCGGGGTCTACCTGACGTGCACACCACACGGGAGCTCTCTGGGCAGGAACTACATCTGAGCTGCCAGGGCCTGCCAGGTAACCAGCCCAGACCGGGCATCAGGAAATAGCCTCCCGAGCTGAATCTGGTACCTTACACACCTTATCTAGGCCCCAGAAGCCTCTCACTGGGCAGAGCCTTTCTGGTCCTGTAGCCAAGGCAGCGACTGAGCGTCTGTCCAGGGCTAACAAGGGGTCATGCTCCTACGTCCCTCCCTCTCTTGCAAATGACCGAGCCAGGAGTGTGTCCAGTGAGACACTTCTTCACTTCCAGGCTCTGGGATTCAGTCCCTAAAAGCAGAGCAGGGTGACCTGCTTGGGGGCTGACAGCGGGCCCCACCCTAGCACCACCATAATGTGGCTTGTGGCCATATTTCCATCTTCACCCTGACTGACAGGATAAGGACCCAAGACCACCTCGAGTGGCCCCAAAGATCACGACACGGCCCCTGTGCCAAGAGCCTGGAGAAAGGACACCATTCGGCAACAGGGCAGAATAGCCCCACCAGGCATGCCACCATCCCCACCCCCGCCCCCCCAGGCTGGCTGGGGAGATTGAGGCACTGAGGCAAGAAGCTGCCAGAACCCCAGATGAGTCCTCCTGACCCCGTGGGAGGCCGCAACTATGCAAGTTTGGCTGAGAACAACGAGAAGCCCGCCTCAGAGTAGAGCACGGCATCGTCGCCCACACCCCCCCCAAACACCTGGGGGGAGGGCAAACCGAGCCTGCGTCGAGCTGGAGGTCTAGCGGGCAGTGAGCGGTGGGGCGTACCTGCTCGGGCTTGATGGGCTCCGTGGTGGTGAAGATGTCCGAGTAGTGCTGCCTCTCAAACACGCGGTCCAGCACCTCCAGCTGCTGCTGCGTGAACAGGTCTCCCCGCATCTGCTTCCGGAGGAAATCTCTGCCCGGCAGTGAGTGACCGTTGGGCACTGGAGATTCCTGAATACCTTGGATGAGCAGGAGACATGAAGGGGGAGTGCAGGTTACACGAGTTGCTGAAGAAAGGCGTGTCCAACAGTGAGATTTGGGGCAGGAGGGCCTGAGAAACCCCCGCGCCCAGTTCCTCCCCTGATAGGAGACGAAACAGACAGGGACTCAGCCAAGGGGCTCCTCAGCCAAGGGCACTGTGCTGACCAGGGCAGAGCCAGCCTCCCAGAGCCACGTGCCAGGCACATGCCAAGCCCTTTTTCCATGCATCATCTCATCTGAAACTCACAGTGATCCCGTGGTAGATAACATGTCCCCCATTTTGCAGATGAGAAAATTGAGACCTGAGAGATCAAGTAATTTGTCTGAGAACTAGACCTCAGGTTGGCTGGGAGTCTTTTTTTAAAGATTTATTTATTTGAGAGAGAGAGAGCGCATGTGTGCGAAAGAGTGCGTGTGGCCAGGGGTTAGGGAGGGGATGCAAAGAGAGAAGAAGCAGACTCTTGCTCAGCACAGAGCCCGACTCAGGGCTTGATCCCAAGACTGTGAGATCATGACCTGAGCCCAAATCAAGAGTTGGATGTTGAACTGAGCCACCGAGGCGCCCCTGGAGTGGGAGTCTTAACCGCCAGGGGTCACTGCCTCTTCTGCACTGAGGCTCCCTACCCCATGAAGGTACCAGTTTCATCCCAGAGCCAAGGCCCTCACCCAAGACGCTTGCCACCACACCACGTGACCAGTCAGTAAAGCACTGCGCCGGGACAGCTGTAGGGAAACAGCCTTCACACAACTCTGGTGGGACCCCTTTGGACACACACCCACGATAGACAATTTGACAAAACCTATCAAAACCACAAATGCACATTTCCTTTGATAAAGCAGCTGTACCTCTGAAAATGTATTTTACCACTGGACTCGCGCATAAGGGAAGTGATCTATGTACAAGGTTCTAGTAGCAAAAGACTGGAAACAACGCAAGAATTTATTTGTAGGGGCTGGCTGAATAAGTCACGGTGTGCTCACACAGCAGAGTGCGGGGCAGCCGCATGAAGGAGCGAGGACTCCCGCTGTGAGCCGATATGGAAAGATCTTCAGGATACACCGTCGTATGAAAAATAAACCAGCTACAGCAGAGCATGTATAACGTATAAGCTTCTATGTGAGAAAAAGGAAGAGAATAAGACTTTGTGTGCCTTTTGTATATATATCGCCAAAGGAGCTCTGGAAGGCACCATGAGAAACATCGAGAGCGCTCATCCTTCCTTTCCTGGAGGCAGGAGGTGAAGGGCCCTTCCTCATAGCACGCTTCTTGTTGTGTTTTGTCTTACTGCAGAACTCTCAATGTACTACTGCCTGTTCAAAAACGTGAATTACCAAGAAAGTACGGCATTAAATTCTCTGTGTGTTCTGTATTGTTAGCTCTTCACGCTGTTACAGGCTCTGGGGGTGATGCTTGCATTTCAAAGAAAATTCTATGAGTTACCAATAAAAAAGAAAATATGTTGGTGGGGGGCACCTGGGAGGCTCAGTGGGTTAAGCGTCTGCCTTTGGCCCAGGTCATGATCCCAGTCCTGGGATTGGGCTCCCTGTTCAGCAGGGAGTCTGCTTCTCCCTCCCCCGGCTGGTATGTGCTCACTCTCTTTCTTTCTCTCCCCTTCTCAAATAAATAAATAAATGAAATCAAAAAAGGAAGGAAGGAAGGGAGGGAGGGAGGGAGGGAGGGAGGGAGGGAGGAAAGAAGGAAAGAAGGAAGGAAGAGAGGGAGGAAGGAAGGAAATGGGATGAAATATTTTTGGTGAGCCTTGCGCTTGAAGCGTTCAAAATCAAAGACAGCAAGGAGGGCAAAAGACAGCAAGGAGATGGCCTCAAGGGCCCTCATCCCCCGGGGCCCTCTAGGACCCAGCTGCTCATGCAGGGCTGACCACAGACACTGTTGGAACCCAGACCTCTGTCTTCGCCTTTGGAAGCCCCTGGGGGAGACCAGTAGGCATCCGACCTCTCGCTGGCAGGTGCCCTCACGCAGGCCTTGACTGATTCTCCCCCTCGTCCCACCCTGTCAGCACAGGCTGCCCTACTCCTCATCCATCACGTAGTGTGAGGAAGGAGATCAAACCGAGGAGCTTGAAGCAGTAGGGTGCTATGTCACTGAGATGTTACCCCAAGCGGCTGTTTCCCCCTCTCCTATCTGGAGGCAAATGCAATGCAGGGTCTGACAGTTGAGCAAAGACACCAGCTGCGGGTGTTCCCAGGAATACTGGCCTTCCAGAGTCCTCCATGGAGGCTGGCAGCTCAGAGCACCCCGGTATCTCTACAGGAAGGGCCTTCAGAAGCAGCTCATAAATCTCCCTGAGGAAACAGATCACACCTGCACTTTGACCCAAGAGGATATGATAGGCTAAGCTACAGCCTCAGTGACCAGATACCCCAATACGTGGGCCACGAGGGAAGCTGGTCTCTCTGGCTGATGTCCTCCAGCCTAGAGTCTGGGCCCCTCCTCTGGCTACATGCAACACGAGTCTTCCACAAGACTGGTCCCTATTCCTGCCCATGGGACATCATCCTCAGAGTCCCTTTTTCCAAGATGGCTTAACCCCATGGGGACCATTCCTACAAGGGCATCGAAGACTAGTAGAATGTAGGAGCTCAGAACCCTGCCCATGCTCTCCCATTGGCTGGCATCTGCCAAATGACCCTATTATCAAAGATACACACACACACACACACACGGGAGGACACTCATCTTTCTTTTCCTCAGCTATTTCCCTGGCCTGTCATCCTGGCCCCAGTCACTCTTACTGAAGTATGACCTTGCCCTTGGTCCCCAGTACTCCCATCAAGTGGTTCCCTGTCAGAGACCACACCCACTCTTAAAAGACTTCTTTCTGTCCACCAGCTTCACTTAGACTCCCTAGCCCCATCCTGCCAGCCAGGCCCCAAACTCCTAATGAAGGCTCTTTCCTGTAGGCCAGTCCCTGGTGACTCCCATCAAGATCTCACTGTGCCCCCAGCTGGGCACTCCCCACCTCTTCCCTCCCACTCAGGCTGCTCCATCAGACACATTGGCCCGGCCATCCTCCCATAGATGTCCACAGGCTCGATCCCTCTCCTGTGGGATTCACAGGCCAGGCTCTTTGCACAGCTCAGAGTTCTGGAAGGGCAGACCTTCACCTCCACTGAGGAAACTGAGGATGCCTCTGCTGAGGGCTTCTGCAGGCAAGGTCACCATCTGGTCACTAAGTAAAGGCTCAGGGCACATGGCCAACTCAAGTGTATGCACCGGAGGGGTTGGGGGGGGGGATCTGTGGAAGCCTAGCTAGCTGAGGACAGGTTCCTGTACTCCAGGCACAGGCAGTCCTGTGGGGACCTGAGCCATCTTTTGGGAAGAAGACTTGCTGCATCCTGCTCTGGTTTTCTGAAAATCAACCACAGCAGCCACGGGCCAAGTCTGGGAGAAGGCCCAGGCTGTCACAGTGACCCAGACACTCCTAGCAGAGGACCGCGAGCTGGAAAGAGCCACCTCTCCAGTCCTGTGCCCGTGACCTACAATTCCTCCCACTGTCCTGGCCCCTCCATCACCCCCACTTGCTTTCTCCACTGGGAGGGAGGTACGGTAGGTCTACCTTGTCACTCTGCACAGACGCCTGATGTCGGTCATTTCCTGAGGAGGCTGAGACACATCTACCCACATAATCACTCATTGGACAAACATGGACGAAGTGTTTACTCTGTACCAGGTGGTGTTTAGAAAAAAAACAACAGAGGATACAGGGATGCCTCAGACAGGCCCCTCTTCCCAAACAAGAAAGGGCAGCTCACTTTCGTCAATACTCACACGGACATGTGGCTACAAACTGTGATTACTGCCAAGTAGAAAGAGTGTCTAGAATCATGTGCACAGGAGTATGGAGAATGAGGGAGAGGTGTGACCACACAGGGGGTGGGGGGGTGAGAGAAGTCTTCCATAGGAAAATCATGCTTGAACTGAGAGTAAAGGACAGGGGTCAGCCGGGCAAAGAGGGTAGGGGTGGGAAGGGTATGCCAGGCAGAGGAGGCCACCTACAAAGGCTTAGACATGAGAGGGAGACGAAAGGCATAGGACAGTGAGGGGAAGAGACCCCAGGAGACTGTGGAGAGGCAGGTGGGGGATGGCCAGACAGCCCCGGAGCCCACAGGAGGCCATGGGGAGGATCTGAGTCCTGCTGGGGGCGCAGAGAGGGGCCACGAGAGGGGCTGAGGAACAATCACTGTCCACATCCCTCAGTCCCGGTACCTGAACTGCCAGTTCCTTTAGATGAGTCTGTGCTCTCGAAGCACTGGGCCCAAGGCTCATCCTTTGGCGAGACTCAGGGCTGGCAAGGTGAAGTTTGCCCCTGTGGACATCTGAATGTGATGCGTGGAGTAGGCCTGTCACCCACAGGGCATCCACCGTGCCGCTAAGGAAGGGGAGCCATTCCCCATGGACATGCATCCTGTTGCCAGGACGGACACAGCCTGTGAGCACGCGTGCCTCCTCCTCCGGGATGCCTTCCTTTCTGCTCCAGCTGCTTCCTCCCCTACTCTTTGGGCTCTGACCATTTTCTCCCTTTTCTTAGGAGTCAAGCCCACTGGGCCTTCTGACACTGCACTATTAGCTACCTCAAGGGGAAGCCACGGTTAATTCATCTCTGTCTCCTCCACGGGAAATATCTGTGGAATAAATGAACAACCATCTTTTTTTCACAGGTCTGGTCTGCAAATGCCAGCATCCCTCCAACTGATTTCATTCATTCAATCATTCATTCTTCTCTCTCTTTTTTAAAAGATTTTATTTATTTATTTGAGAGAGAGAGATAGTGAGAGAGCATGAGAATGGAGGAGAGGGAGAAGCAGGATCCCCGCTCAGCAAGGAGCCTGACGTAGGGCACCATCCCAGGACCCTGGAATCATGACCTGAGCCGAAGGCAGACGCTTAACCGACTGAGCCACCCAAGTGCCCCCATTCATTCTTCTCTTAAGCAACCTTAGTGAGCAGGTGTCACAC